GGGCCTTCCCCCTGCTAGCAAAGGGGGGTGTTCCGTGAGCGTTTGTGCCAGAGGTGTCCACAGCACTCCCAGGGTAAACGGGTTTTCCTTAATGTTCTTTAATCTTCTGGAGTCCCCAGCATAAGAACGACATGGGCCTGTTGGAGTGGGTCCAGAAGAGGCCACAAACATGATCAGATGCTGGAGCACCTCTGCTACAGGGAGAGGCTGAGAGAGTTGGGGTTGTTTAGCCTGGAGAAGCGAAGGCTTTGGGGAGACCGTATAGTAGCCTCACAGTACCTGAAGGGGCTACAGAAAAGCTGGGGAGGGTCTTTGTACAAGAGCATGTAGTGATAGGATGAGAGCTAATGGTTTCAAACAGAAAAAGGGTAGATTTAGATTAGACATTGGGAAGAAATTCTTCACTATGAGGGCGGGGAGACACTGGAACAGGTTGCCCAGAGTAGTTCTGGATGCCTCCTGCCTGAAAGTTGTTCAATATGAGGTTGGATGGAACCTTGAGCAGTCTGTTCTAATGGGAGGTGTCCCTGCCCATGGCAGGGGGTTTGGAACTAGATGATCTTTAAGGTTGCTTTTAACACAAACCACTCTATGATTCTATGATTGGATGAATGTGAGATTTTGCCTTAAACAAAATGAAGAACCCTGTTGCTCCCTGGGACACGGTGCTGCCAGGGTGCCAGCTCTGCAGGGTATGTGGGTGCCAGGAGACATTTGTGACCTGCACTTGTATCTCCCTGTGACCTCTGTTAGACCAAATGAGGAGGTGGTAGGTTTTAGACCATGGTTTGCACTCACTCTCCTGCTTGTAGCAGCCAGCAGATGCTGGCTCTGGGTGGCAGTTGTAGAGTTGCATCAGATTTTCCTGGTGACGTGTTGTGGTTGGTGTTGCCCATCCTTTCTGTGCATCTGACTAAGCCAACTTCACAATTTTCCAAGCATTTTTGTGTCCTCTTCTGCTCTGTGCCTCCACAAAAAACTGAGTGTAGGTGCCTTAAAAGGCAGAGCTTGATACCTTTACTCCATCATCCTAGATAGGAGCTGCCCACTCTGCACCCTGTAATAAGTGACTTAATTGCTCTGCTTTTTTTCCCAAATTTGGGTGTATTGAGGTTGAATATCTCACTCTGAATCAATGTTTGTCAACTTAATCAGGTATATCCTTATTACAAGAGAGCTGCACCATAATCGGAGAAAGTGTCCTATTTCAAGAGCACTAACAGCCTTTAAATACGTGTTTTACTTGTTTTGTTGTGAAGCACACACCCCCTGCCTCTCACTGTTCCTCTACACATTGATCTCAGCTACTGGCAAAAAAACAGTGTCTGTATGCCTGAATGCCTTTCAGCCAGGGCCTCCACAGCACTACTGGAACGGAAGCATTTCCTTCAGTGTAAGGTAAGGATTTAACAAGAAAAAAAACCACAACCCCTTTCTTCCAACAGGTTTAATTTCCAGCCTGTAGCAAAAGTCCAGAGGCTATTATAGCCAGACCAGTAGTGTTTTTCACTCCAATCCGTGCTGCAGGCAGTGGTTCCTGCCCTGATGGCTGTGCTGTGTCAGTGGGCTGCAGCCAGAGCAGTCACTGCAAGGGGAAGTTTGTCACGTCCCAGGGAGTGGAGTTACAAGACTCAGCTTCTGCTCTTGTCTCAGCTTCTGACTCTAACTTGGAGCAGTGCTTTAACCTTCCTGAAACCCACTTGAATGATTTGCCCTCTGGCTTTGGAAGTTCCCCTCTCTAGGGCCTGAAATAGGTGAATCTGATCGAAGAGATTTTTCTGTCTCAGGCTTTCAGTTATTAAGCTCCATCTGTTGTGGTTTAAGCTGGCAAGCAGCAAAAAGACACACAGTCACTCACTGCCCCCCTCCCTGGTGGGGTGCAGGAGAGAATTTGAGGGGAGAGGTAGGAACACTTGTGGGTTGAGATAAGAACAATTTAACGATTGAAGTCAATCAAACTAAAATAATAATAGAGAATCATAATAAAAATAGGAACAATGATAATAAACCAATCATATATATATTATTCTATGCAGCTCACGCAGCTCTCATGTATATACTCAGCCATACTCGGCACATGCAGCAGTTACTGGCTGTGCGCCAGCGAAGATGCGATGGTCAATGGCAGGGGAGGGGTACGCTTTGGGAACCAAATGATGGGCGAGACCCTCTGGAGACAAGACAGAGTGCAGGACCAGGGCAGTGATCCTACCCCTGTACTTGGCGCTGGTCAGGCAGCACCTTGAATCCCGTGTTCGGTTTTGTGCCCCTTACTACAGGAAGGACGTTGAGGTGCTGGAGCATGTCCAGAGAAGGGCAATGAAGCTGGTGAAGGCTCTGAGCACAAGAACTATGCGGAGCAGCTGAGGGAATTGGGTTATTCAGCCTGGAGGAGGCTGAGGGGGAGACCTTATAGCTGACAACAACTATCTGAAAGGAGGGGGTAGTATGGTGGGTGTTGGTCTCTTCTCCCAAGTAACAAGTGGTAGGACGACAGAAAATGGCCTCAAATTGTGTAAGGTGAGGTCTGGGTTGAGTATTAGGAAAACTTTATTCACTGAAAGGGTTACCAGGCAGTGGAACAGGCTGCCCAGGGAAGCTCTCGAGTCACCACCACGGAGATATTTAAAAGACTTGTAGATGCGATGCTCAGAGACACGGTTTGGCAGTGGACAAGTTATGGTTGGACTCGATGATATTTAAAATCTTTCCCAAACAAATAGGTCTGTGATCCAGTGACCAGAGAGGGCATTCGAGCCCGTCGGGAACAGGCTCTGCCCGGTGCCGGTGTAGGGGCGGAACGCTTGTGACACCGCCACACCGCCGCCGGGCGGAGCGGTTTCCGTGTGACACCGGGAGCGGCCGGATACCGCCGCTATGGCCCGCAAGAAGCTGTACCGTCCGATCGCCGCTATGGCCAAGAAGGTGCGGGAATACCGGGAGCTGAAGAACCGACCGCGGGATTCGCAACGTTTCGCTTTGGATTACGAGACGATGCGTCGGCCCCTGACGCAGAAGCGGTTGCCGGTGAGGGCCTGGGAGGACGCGCGGAACGAGCACCGGCTCTTCTCGCTCCTCTCCCGCCTGCCCCGCTTCGGCGTGGGCCGCACCGTCACCCGCAAGTCCTGGCTGTGGGAGCACGACGAGCCCTGCTACTGGGTCATCACCAAGGTGAAGGCGGACTACACGGCCGAGGTAATCCCCACATTGGTGTCCCAAAAATCATGTATTTGACTGTATTTCCGCACAGAGGTGTGTGCTAGGGGGTAGCTCCACAGAGCCCTCCTCCAGATACTGGCGCTTTTTTATACACCAAAACCTGCAAAACTGCCTCATCTCTGTGAATGCCAACATCATTCGCTGCTATGACTGGGTAACTAAGTCTGGGCTTCCAGTTAAAGTGGTAGCAAGTGTGGTTTTTATCACGCCTGCTCTGTGAGAGCGGGCTTATGTGAGTAGAGGGCTTTTTCTTCCCTAGAGGTGGGGTTGTACCGTGCTACTGAGGCAAGTTCACACAAAGTTTACCTTCTCAGTTGGTTACTGATGTGCCAAATAGCTTCTGGGGGCCTATATACTCCAGTCAAGGATGCACATGTGTTTTCTTACACCAGGGTCTCCAGGTGGTTCTTGCCATAGTGCAATCCTGTCTTAGAATTAACGAGGCCCACAATTTGCATCATCACCCAGACCCCCTTGCCACCCTCGACGCGTTCTTGTTTTCTTTTGCAGAACATGGATCATGGAAGAGCTTGGGGCTGCCTGACCTTCAGAGGTACAACCGGCTGCTTTTCCTACACTGGAGGTCTGGGGAAAGCATCTGCAGGCAGGACCTGGGGGTACAGGAGGGTGGGGGAATGGTGGGAAAACCACAGCCACATACCTTTTTCTCAGATCTGCCAGTAAGAAAAGGTGTCTGTGTTTTAGTTTTAAACACTGGGCTCCAGCCCTCACAGAATGTGTCTCTGAGGAATGCTGTGGGAGAGCCGGTGTTGGCTGACCACGGGGAAGGACAGCATGATAATGGGGGTTAGATGAGGTGGCAGACTGGTTTTGAGACTCGGAAAGGAAGACCCAGAATGAACATGAGGGTACTCCACATAAAATCATCGGTAAAACAGGAGTAGTGGCGAGTAAACTTATATTACTGGGATTTTAAATTAATGCTCAAAGGTGAGCGGGTTAATTTCCCTTTTTAAAGCTGCTTTACATTAGGCATATGTTTGTAACTTACTGGAGTTTCTGAAACATTTCTCAAAGGTTTTAAAGTTGTTGGGTATTTTTAATGTTAAATTTCCCAGGGAACTTTCATCAGTGTAGAGAGAAATTACTCTTGTTCCTTAGCCATGGACTTTTTAAATGAAGAGAGGGTTGTTTAAATTAAGAGAGGGCAACCACAGAACTGGAAGGACTTGCCCATAGTCCTTTCAGCTGGTTTCTGTTTTGATTTCTGAGGACAGAAGTGGGATCCCATAGTACAGCAGGCAACGTCCAATCCTTTAAAAACTTCCTTTACTATTGCCTGTTGTAGCATTTTTGATCCCTGAGAGTTGACACTCACTGCATTTCCTGGATGGAGTTTTTTGTCGATAGTGCTGTCCACTGGTGTTCATCATCTTTTCTCAGGCAAAACTGAAGAGGAAGTGAGAGAGATCGAGAAAGTCATGTACCACGACTGGCGTGTGGTGCCCAAGCACGAGGAGGAGGCCTTCAAGAAATTCACCCCTGTGCCAGAGGAGACCATTCGGTACCTCCCATACCCACCTCTGCTCCGAGCCATGATCCTTGCACAGTGGCAGAAAGAGGGAAAACCAATGACAGAGGAGCCAATGATTGATCTGGAAAAGCTCCTGGTCTCTCCCCATCGGAATCGGAGCGAAAGATCAAAGAAAAAAGCTGCAGGGGCACCAGTATAAAGACTTGTGCCGTGTCCTGAGCTTCCTGCGTGCTCTCACTGAGTGTTGGAAGCACGTCGTCTTACAGAAGACGCCTTTACCCACTGCGATGTGGTGTCCCAGTTTCCTAGTGCCCCAGCCCTGTACAGTTGCCTCATCTGAAAGGAAAGGTGCAGATGCATTCAGACTTTTTTCCATCACTTTGGTCTCAGTCAGCAGAGGAACCTCCTTGGTTCTCTGTACAGTCTGAATGCATAGCTCCTGTCATCCTGCTACAGTTCTTTGGAGCATAATTTCCTTTACAGCCTGAAAATTAGGTTAAGAACATTTTTCAGATAAGTTGGGTCCTACATAAATCACAGAACAATGACTGAGAATATCACATTATTTCAGAGAGCTGTGTACAAATGTATCTACTAAAGAAAATAAACATATTCTTATTTCTGCAGCACAGTTCTAAGAAACCCGGTATTGTTTTTCAGTGCATGTACATCATCAAAAAGTGCAAATGCAGTCATTCGCTTACCAAATACAGACACAGCATCAGATTCCTCTTAACTGCTGCAGAATCATCTGGGTTACTTACATGTGATGGCAATGAACAACATGGAAGAACAGTGTGACTTGGGATAATAAACTTACCCAAAGCTGTCCTTTGAGAGACAGCATTCCCAGAGACAGCTGCCAGGATGTAGGAGAATTATCCTATAAGGTATAGAATGGTTTGGGTTGGAAGGGACCTCTGAAAATCACTTAGTCCAAACCCCCAGGTCCAAGAGGTCCATCTAGGAGGAGCTGGAGATGGGCTCAGCTACAGCACAGCTCAGGCAAAGACTGAAGGCCCCAGCTGGTGCCTGAATGAGAAACCTGGGCCATGGCTGGAAAGGGCCCATGTATGGGTGGGGGCCCAGGTGGAGCTGATCAGGACAATCCTGGGGGTTGTCTTCCCACAGAGCCTCTTGTCCAATGGTGAGGATCCTGCTCTGGAAAGCTGTGCAGCCCCCATTTGCCAGGTGGTGATCCAATACCTACAACATGGTGGGAGCTCTGCCAGGACTCAGACCTGCACATTGACCCCCCTGGACCATTCAGCAGTCTGGGAGCAGTGTCTGAGGGATGGCAGCAGTGAGCCCCTTCCTCAGCTGCCCAGGTGGGTGCCCCCCATGGCTGCACTCCACCAGTGCCTTGCTCAAACCACTCCTGGCTGTGTCGAAGGGTGCAACTCCAGGGGTGTCGGATGAGCTCCAGGGCCTGCTTTCAGACATCACTGCCGAGGTGCTCCTAGCAACCCGAGGCACTGCCTGTTGTACTGCACAGGACCACAGTGCAGGCCATAGTCATGGAGCTGCTCAAGGCAGAGGCTGTAAGGAGGTGGCTCCCTGGTCTATTACTGCTATGTGCCAGCCTTGAATTAATGCAGTTCTACAAATGCGTCTAAGTGCTGCTTGGGACTGAAAGGAACTCGGGTCCAGCAGTGCTGAACATCACCAGTTCCTATGGGACTTTGTGAAGCATTACCCTGTATTGGCAGAAGACACTGGCAAACTGGATGTTGAAAGCTCAGCCTGATGCATTAATCCTGGCAGCTTGCCCAAATGGGACACCCCAAGGACAGCTGGAGCCAGCCAGCAGCTGAACCCCTGTCCTTTCTGATGCCGGCAGAAGCTGCAGAGCACACAGTGGCTGGCAGGAGCAACCCCTTCTGCGCTGATTCAGCCACACCTCATTTCTTGCCACTAAATTGCTGAACGGTGAGCACTTGAGCTGTGGTTCTTGCCCTGTTTTGTGTCTTGCTGTTACTGAAGACTGAGCAGAACTGCCGGTGCCATTGCAGGAACAGGACGCAATGCGCTTGCTGATGTTAACACATTTATTACATACAGAACAGATATGGTTTGTTGTTTGATAGCATAGGGGACAAAGCATGGGAACATATTCATACAGCAGTCTCTTTACAGAATGCCATCTTCAGACCAAACAGCGGAGTTTACAGGCCTTAAGACACTTTTTAAAATCCTTTTATAACATACAAGATACTTTACATACATCACAGTGGAGATATGACAGGGAAGTGTGTTGAAGCCAGTCAGTTCTCACCTTGCTGCCCAGCAGCCACCAAACGCCACGAGAGCTGTCAGCAGAGCCTGGTTCTACATGGCTGCAGCTGCCCCTCCTGGACATGTGCTTCTCTGGGAGGAAAATACGCACCGAGCTGCAACAGAAGCTGTTGGTAGAGGCCCGAGACAGGTTTCCTTACATTGCCAAGGCCCAGTGGGTGACAGGAGACTGAGTGCTGTCACTTTGACTGCTAAAACCAGATGGAGAACTAACAGTAGGAAGGAAGGATGCTGCAATTCTGTATTTTCCTATGGAAGCTGACAGAGCTAAGGAACTGGGGCTGATAGGGCTTTTTTTCCCCCCTTCAATTAGCCCAGATTACGAAGTTTACCTGATCCTGATGAACTGTAACATGTCTGTGGAATCTGTGGTCTAACATTGATCTTGTTAACTTGAACACACTCTGTTGTGATCCAAAGAGCTCTTCCTAGCAGAAAGCATTCTGGGGGAGTGAGTGGCACAGTCAGCAGCGCCCTGGTGAAATGTCCTTGCTGAAACATCGCACCGCGTGCAGGTGGCTGCTCCGAGCACCTCTTCACCACTGCCAGCCAACAAGCCCAGCGTGCCAACAGCTGGAGGACACCGTCCAGCTGGTTTCCTACCTCGGTGCAGATGCATGTGTCACCAGCACTGCTGACAGGCAGCACGGGCACCACGGCAGCTCCATGCTTTGGTGGCCGAGGCCTCTGGTCTCCAGGGGTGTCCTCTTGCCTCCCTGCAGGGGAAATGCACGCCCCAGCCTCTTCTGAACAGTGGATCAAAAATGCATTTCAGTGCTGCTGCTTCACATGTCACATGCTAGAGCTTCCCCTGGGAACACTGCTTCCCTGCAGCACATCAGCAGCTTCAGACCAAAACCTTGGTGGCAACCTGGGCCATGGTGACAAGCACAGGACACAGCTGGGAACCTCCCACAAGATGGGAGGCTTCCCCCAGCTGTTCCCATACTGATGCAGTGGCACAAGGACATTCCTGTGAACCCTGGAGTGCTGCACAGCTCAGGGACGAAATAATGTGAGCCAGGAGCTTCCAAATTCAGTGCTAACAACTGCTACTCGCTCTAGTCCTGCACATCCAAGAGGAAACAGACCTTGTCCTTGTGAAGACAAGACTGTTTTTGGTGTCAGAAAGGGAGGACAACCCACTGCCTCTCCATCTGGAGCTGCCATGGTCTGGAGCTCAAAACCACTCTCCCTGGCCCCATTTTTTGCTGCTTCCCCTGAAAGCAGGACACACACAGGCAATTCCCTAGCACTGCTTATACAACGAGGGCCATCAGATTTTTTTCTTGGGGGCTGTCAATTCTTATCAGGAGTCAGAAATTTCCAGCTTTTCAAACTACTTAGTAACAAAGTCAGTGCTCACAATGCTGGGTAAAAGAGGTCAGGAGGTTTGTCCTCAATTCCTCTGCCTGTGTGACCTCAGGCAAGACACAGCGGACAGCCACAGTTTGAGGGAAAACAGCCACCTCCTTCCAGCAGTTCCCGTGACGAAACTCAGTCTTATAAATCAGGGTAATCTCAAAGTGTTACTGCAGAATTCTCAGCATATCAACATCATCTGCAATCGCCTGTGTTTTAAAAGCCAACAATTGCTCTGCAGAGACAGCTCTCCTGAACCTTTCAGAATGAATTCAAGAGTTCCTTTCTGCCTGGCATTTTAAGAAGGGGAAGTTAAAAGAACTGCTGCCTTTTTGGCTCTTAAAAAAGCAAGGTTCCAGTACCCTTTTGCTACTACAGTTTCCAAAGGCCCTGTGGCCTCCAGGATCCAACACCTGCCTCCCATCTGAGGCTACCAAACAACCCTCTCTGGACAAACAGCCACCCAGCGCACGACTGCTGAGCCAACAGCAGCAGAGGAAGGAGAGTTTCCATCTGCAAGTACAAAGGATGTGTTCCCCACAGTAATGGCACTGCTGCCTCCTCCAGCCAAAGAGCAGAAGTACTGCCCAAACCCTGACCCTCCTTTCTACTGAAGGTTCCTTGGACCTGGCTGCTCTCAGTCTGTGGGACAATATTCTGTGCTTAAGGGTGGATAACGTGGAGAGTCACTGCTGAACTAGAAAGGATTTCTGCTAGGGTGCTGTAGAAGTTGTGATTCACCATCACTGCTTTGGCGGGGGACGTACTTCTTCTCATGCAGGTGGGAGTGAGGCAACGTGCTGGAGAACCTGAGCCACCACCATCCAGCTGCCAGCCCCTGGGCACTGGGCAAAGGCTTTGCACAGTTCTAGCTCCAAGCTTCACTTCAGCCATTTCTCTCCTTGTAGATGCCAGCTCCAGAGCAGAACAATAATCCAACCACGCAGAAAGCGCATGGGCCCAAGATGAAAGCTGCAAGTTCAAAGGTTAGAAGGGGGTCACAGTCTGAGGCAGGAGCCGCTGCAGTTGTCTGGGGTCGGTTTCCAGCAGTAGGTATAATGCACGCGTTCTGTATGTACATCTTGGCATTCAGGCGGGAGGAGGGACACTTACATTGGTGGGAAAGGAGAAATTCTCACTCGGGGATATATGATACCTGCCATACAATAATGTGGCTCCTTTCAGCCTTGGAAAGTACTGGCTTCACCTGGGTGGCATCTCCTGCATTCTCCTCTGTCTCATCATCTTCTCCATCCCCTGAAAAGAGAAAAGAGAGTGAAAAAGGCAAGAAAGAAAATCCCCAATTGTACTGCACTGAAATACTTCCAAAGGGGCCGATATCCCTGCTACAGTCTCAGCAGCCTAACAGGCAGCATGAGCCATCCTTTATGCCTGGAGAACATCTGTAGCAACATGGAGCTTTTCTGATGTAGGACAGTATGGATGGAACAAACCATCTCCAGCAGTAGGGAAAACCGCCCTACCTTCTGGGAAAGGCAGTGTTCACAGCACAGATGACCACAGTGGGCATCCATGTCTAGAGCCAGCAGCACAGATGGTTTTATTCTTTCCAAGGCCATTAATGCAGACCATGTGGCACTGCAGGCAGGGGCAGGGTTTGGCAGCCTTGTGCTGTGCTTGCTATCTGCCCTCAGAGCCAGCAACAGGGAAAGCAGAAAGCACTGCTTTTCAGATTTAACTCTCCACAGCAGTGATCCCTCTTCTCCACAACCATGGCCCTGCATCCCACCTCTCGTTCCAGATGCCTCCCACCACAGCCGCTCACCAATCCGGAAATCGATGTATCCTTCTCCTCCACTCAGCACCAGGACGTTCTTCAGCTTCTGCCCCTCGGTCTCTGTGGCTGCTGTGCTGGGGTTCTCCGAAGGGCTGTCCAACACGCTCCCATTCAGGGTTGCGAGGACATTGCCTGGCAGAGGACAGAGGTGCTGTCAGTGCCTCTGCTCAGCCCCCATGCAGTTATGCACACACACACCACTGGGCAGGACAATTCCTTCTGCTGGTGGAATCTGGAAGTTGCTGCAGTTTAAACTACTGATGTCTGAGCCACAGTGATCTGTGCGTGCTAGAAATGGCATGGACAGCTCCTGCAGCAGGACAAGACCCTCACGAGGAAGGGCCATGCTCATCCTTACCAGGCACAGAGACGAAGAACTTGACAGCATCACGGTGGCCATGGAAACAGAGCTGTGCCTGAGCCATGGAGCAGTAGGGAATGAAACTGCTGGCTGATTTGTCACTGTTGTCATCACCATACACGTGGATGACCCCACCGGAGCGGCTGCCCTCTCCAGACGTTGGTGAGGTCTTGTTGGCTACGGACAGGGAGAACGAATATTGTCAGTGACAGCTTTGAGTCCAATTACAGAAGGGACTCAATTGAAGAGACAATGTATAAGCCATGAAGGAAAACCTTTAAAGACACAAGTCTCTTTAAAGGTCCTATGTAAAGGATGTGATGGAGGAGACCACACTAGAGTATACAGTCCCTCTCTTTTAGGTTGGTAATGATCCACTCCTGATAAACTATTATTTTCTCATCAAATCTAGCACGTGGTTACTAATGAGGCACACATCCCTGGAGGTGCTAGGCAAGAGTGACCCTAGGGCAAGCTAGACAAGGTCTTGGAGGTGCCCCAGTGAAGGCCTCTTCACCAGCAGCAATCCTGTCCAGCCTGTAGAAATGACCCTACAGTTCTAGAATCAACCTTGGTCTCTCGTACCTGGTAGAGTACCCATAGGTGTCCACTGTACCCATGAGATATTAAGGGCACCTGGAGAAGAATTACTGCTATTTTCTGGATTGCTGAAGTTCCTCAGTTTCTGAGTCAAGTCCTTTACTCATGCCAAGCTGTGAGCACAGGGGCTGCTGAAAGCAGTCTCCAGGTCTAGTGAAGACCTCTCAGCCCAGTAAACGTAACAGCAGTGGAATGAGGTACTTCCTTAGTCCTTGATTCAGCCATGACACCAGAAGATCAGTTAACACAAGCAATGAACATCTGAACGATGTTCACCATCCACAGCTTCCAAGGATTTCAAGGTGGGCTCAGGGGCCAGCATCCCTCATGTCCAAGCTCTGAGAATGAATGTGAATGCTTCCACTCACTAAGGAACAGAGAGTGGTGCTCAGAGCTCAGGATGGGACATGATCTCCCTCTCCATGCACCCACAACAGTAAACCAGAAATTCCTAAAATCAGACAGCTTTCACGTCCTGTGAGAGACCTCAATTGCTTGCTTAATCACCTGCAGTTCTGTAGCTTGGCTGGGGCTGGATTTCAATTAAGTGACTAGGACAAAGGAGACTTTTACGCATTGGGCTCAAGCCAGGATGGTGAGACAAGTACAAATATTTTGATGGAAGAATGAGAATCAGTGTGTGCAGGGGGAAGATCCCCAAGATGAAGGCTCTTCGTACTTTGGTTTGCTGTGAGCAGCTACAACTGGATGAGCTCATCTGATCGACAGACAGAGCTGGTACTAGCACCACTTCTCACTTGGTATCTGGCTTCTACTGCAACCAGTATCAGATGCTTTAAAAAGAGGAGATGTATGTTGATAATGCTTAAAGACAGCCACAGGAATATCTTACAGTGAGAAAAAGATACTATTTTCTGACCCTGGAAAGGCTAAGGTAAGCAGCCTTAACAGGCACAAATCCAAACAATTCCTAATGTTTATCAAAGTCTCCTCTAGTTAAAAGTCTTGGTTGCTGCCATTGGCCTGGAACTGATGAGAGGAGCATCCTTGGAAAACCAAGGATGACCGAGGAAGACCTTGGAAGAACAGTCTACTCCTGCCTCCTGTAACTCTGACTGAAAGAACCTTTACAGTCCCCATCTCAAACCTGGCCTACCACTGTTAGGGTACTACTGATAAAGAATAAAGTACTCTTGATTAAAAAAAAACCACAAAAAACAGAAGGATGGCTGATGAGATGGATGAAAATAGTTTTAGCCATGGGAAATGGGGATATTTACATTACTGTCTCTGGTTCCTTTTCTCAGATGCAACTTAAAATGAAGGAGTGATGAGGAAAAATGGATGGAGAGAGCTGAATGGCAGGATGGAAGGGCGGGAAAGTGATGGCAAAGGAGAATGGGAGCAAAAGGAGTGAAAGCTGAAGGAGGAGGGAATGGACTTACCCCGGAGCCCAAGGAGTTGGCCTCGGTGGAGGACTACAGCTATGCACAGGCAAGGAGGAGTGGGAACACAGAGGGGCACAGGAAGAGACAGGGAGGACAGGAGAGAAGAAAAAATTATTACTGAGAGAAAATTTGGGGAGCAACAAAAACCCTAGAGAAACCACAACAGGAGCTACAGGCTCAGATCAGTTTATACCAACACTGTTCTTGCTCGCTTTGCTCTTATCTTACAAGGACAAATGTAAGATAAGATGGGAGAGGGACTGTGGCCACAAGGATTCATTGCTGAAATGTCTAGTGAGGCCTTACTGCTTACCAGTTTTACAGAAACAGCCGAAGATCATGCAAATGGTTTACAGCAGGGAACAAGCTTAACTCAGAATTAGAACAGCAGCCCCAGGAACAAATGGGCTTTAAAACAAGGATTCAGAAATGAGACCAAGATTGCAAGGTGTAAAGACAACTGTGTCACTGGCTTCCCAGTGCCAGCCCCGGGCATATCCAGCTCCACTAGCCTTAGACAAGGCCATCTCAGCCCTGGACTTCCAGAAGGATTAAAACAGGTTTGCCCCTGTTATACAGGACCCACTTGCTTCTCAGACTTCCTGCTAGCAGTGGTATGAAAATGTTCATTTGGCTGCTTTCTGTTGAAAGCAACTGCAACTCAAATCCTAGTTCCTATTATAATCTGGAACAGACCTGAAAAATTAGATGCTGACTGGCGGGTACAGAACAGGATTACTAAGAGCTTTAATTAAACTTCCAGCTCCAGAGATGCACCTATTAACTACCACTGCTGGGTCTTCTCACCAGGCTGGATTTGGTGTAAGATACTGATTTCTATTTGACTGATAAAGCTGAGCCCTAATTTGAGTAAATGAAGCTGGAAGTCACTTTCTGGAAAATATTGTTATGGAGATGTTTAGAAGTCTGTATCAAAACAAAATTTCAAGGCAGATCTTCCTGGTGACTTCTCATCCCACGGCCTCCTTTTGGAGACTTAATACAATTCCCAAAGCTTTGTTTCTCCTGCTTTCCAATAGCACAGAACCAGTTCACATCAATCTGCTCTGACAAGATCACGCTCAAAAAAGAAGACTGTATGGATGGTTGAGATGTCCTTCATCCCCCAAGAAGGAAATAGCTTCAATTGAACTGAAAGGGAGAGTAACAAATACCTACTTGGTTTTAAACAGGTTAAATCCATTCCACTGAGCACTGAATAAGGAAGAATTAAACCAAGTTCAGGACTGCTCATGCTCAGGGCTCTTCTCTCTGAACACTGCTATGATCAACCATGTGTCAGGTTCATCATCTGGAGAGCATCACCCTGCCAGAGCCATCCACCACACTGCACAACTCACACGTGAAAGCACTGGTTTTGTAGGGAGGGGACAGAAGTGCCTCCAATAATAGTCACTTACTTTCAGTCAATGGAATGGAGATGACGACACCGTTCCCTGTCCCCACCCAGAGGCGGTTGCCAGCAATGAGCAGGGCTGTGATCCGCACGAACGAGAAGCCCAGCTTTCCAGTGCCTGGTAAGCATATGGAAGAATTAGAGAGTTAGTTATGACTTTGGGCAAGGTCTGCTAATGAATTTTGATTGCTCACTGATCTCAGTAAGCAACAGACCATTTACTGACAGTCCCTACTGCCTCACCTAGCATCTTGCTGACGTAAGGCTCGATGTCAACATCTTGCAGATGTTGATGGCTGTGGGCATGGTAAAGCCTCAGAGTGGAGTCCAGGCGGATAGAAACCCACACTCCATCTCCGATCCATGCCAGCTGTCGCACCTGACTCTCCCGCCGAGGGTGGGCATCAAAGGATTTCTGAAATGCCAAATAGGTGGACCAACGTGAGTTTACAAAAGGTTTGCAATTATCTACACATCTACTCTATTTTTCTCAACTGAGATCACCAGTTTGGGTTTCAAAGCTCTTGGAGAAACTGTGTTAATGCCAGCTGACCTCAGAAGCTCATTGCAATATAGAAAAAATCCCTCACTTGAAGCAAAGAGTTGTACTGCAGCTCTGCAGAGATTGTGGTCTTCGCAGACCACTTCAGAAGCAAGAACATTTAGAAACCAAGAGCTGTCAATGTGCTTGGCAGAAAAGGAAAACACATAACCCAAGTATAAATTCCAAAGATCAAACTGCCTTGGCTCACTGATGTGATCTTCAGACGCAGCACTTCATTTCCCTTTGATTAGAATTATTCCAAGCACTGTCAAATAGGTTTGTACAAACACCACTGTATTGAATTTCAACCAAAAGGTGCTAAACATAATTTTTCTTCTTAGTCAAGTGGGATCACTGGGGTTTGCTAACTGTGCTCTTCCTTTGTGCCACAATGCCTACAGACTTAGAAGTCTTACATCATATATGAAGGGTAGCTGTAAAGCACACACATACATTTGTGTAGTATGTGGCCTCACAGACTCACTAGTAAAGGCAAAGACAGTGCTCAGTGCAGACTTATCTGAAGATTTAAGCTCTGCAAAGTGGTTCTGCAGTCGGCAATGACAACATAAAGGCTCTGCATTTCCATACACTGCAGCAGAAAACAGCTGTAAGAATAAATACAACACAAGCACGTGCATACATACACACACATTTGCTCCCTTACCTCAATCTGCATTGTCTTGGGTTGGATAACGTGGATTTTGTTCTTGTAGCCACACCAGACTCTATCATACACAACAGCCATGCAGCGGATGGAATGGTGAGTGTGACCGAGGTCCATCAGGTGGTAATTACTGAGATCCCACTGACCATCTGGGGTGGAAAACAAGTGTGGAATAATACATCCCCTTGATCACATGTCAGTATACAACAGAATCATCTACCTTTCCACGTATATCTAGGTATATGGGCTTAGCTAATACTCAAATACTCACTTTGCTTACATCTGTGAATCCAGGTGCATCCATGAATGCACCTTCAGGCACAGTCTCATACTTACAAAACACATGACAATCAAGTTTAGTTTGGTGGGCTGAAAGCTCTCCAAAACAGGCTAATTTAAACATCCTTTTATTGTAATGAAGTTAACAGGCTTCTCCAACAAGTACAACAAAAACAGCAGAAAAGAAGAAAGACAGTCTAACAAGACTATGCAGAAATTTCAACGGACCTTGTGGTAAGGCTTCCTCGTATCACAGACAGACAATATAATCTTCCCAAGGCATTAAATCCATGATAAGGAATCAATCTCCCTCCTCTCACACTTATTTTCTAACTAACCAGGCAGACACCACGTCCTTCCCATACAGGTGGCCTCTATACCACGAAGCTTTATCCTCTTTCTGATGGCAACAATTTTTGCGTCAGTGGTCAGGCTTGAATTTATGACAAAGGCTGAATCAAAATTTAGAATGCATAAAACCAGAAATCTCTGTATTTCAGCTTGGTGGATAAACTGCTACTCAGTGAATAAGTTCTTAATATGCAAGCGCTAGTCACAATTAGCAAATTCCTGTGTGCTTTCAGGTACAAATACAGCTTGGGAACTGCTCAAGTCATAAGTAAACAAGTCCTACAACAGTGAGGAGGTCAAGAAATACAGAATTCAAAAAATATCCTGAAGTGACAAGATTAATGCATGTCAGATTACTCAGACATCTCTTTTCTGCAACAAGAAAAACTGACCAAGTGTAACGCAAAGGCTCCATTTATTTGAGATTTCCAGGCTTCCTGAAAATCCCAGCTCTGCCTGCTGTGGACGCAGTGACCAATTCCACTCCTTGCACAGGGCCCAACTTCCCTGGGAAGCAGCAGGTCTATTTGCAACCATACAGATGATCTGCTCAGGTACAGGCTGAGTGTGCATGCCCTGTTACAGTTCATTTGTGAATGCACAGTACCACAGTACGGCGCAAATGCACTCACCAAGCATGCCTCAAACAACTGCACAGCATACGTAATCCTAAGTGTTGCATTTACTCTGCATGTGCTACACAGAACTTACACACGTGGTTTTGCTCAGAAAAGTTCAGAAATGGTTAAAGTATGCCGTGGATATTTTAGGATAAGGATTACATGTGTATAACAGCTATTGCATTTTAACCATATGTTTGTACCCTGGCAACTCGGCACCTTTCCTTTTCAACTCAGAACAGCATTTAATCCTTTGTTACACTTTTGGCCAAGTTTGTTTTTCGCTTACTACGTTGATTCTTACCTTCTCCCCGGTGGAATATGGCTAGTGTTCCATCTGCCAGAGCAACGAGAACCCTCCCTTTCACATGCCTGAAATCACAGAAAAGTAAATACTAACAAAATCTGTAGAAGTCAGGGACTAACAAATCCTTTCTGACATCCATGCACACCATCTTTATGTTCTCTCTACAATTCCCATTCAGTTTAGCACTTGCAGGAACCAAGGTTCATACATCTTACCTCCGCTGTAGTAAGATCATCCGTAAATTTCCTGTTGAGGTTAACTTCACACTACAAACTCCATCAATCTCAACAAATTCCACCTAATTTACAACTCAGTGAAATTTTGCCTTTTTCCTCCTGATACTGCTAATCTCATTTAGTACCTTATTTACTAATTTGGGTCAGGTCTGCAGTTGAGCAGGAAAACGGCTCAGTATGAGGCTTCCTAATAACAAAAAACTTTGTGAAACTTTCCTCACAAACCAATGCACTTAGAAAAGCAAAGAAAAAGATGACTGACAAAGAGCTGCTACCCCCATCTAAAATACCACTTAAACACTGAACCGTCTGTCTCCTTCAGTGTCTCTTGGCATGCACACTTACACTAGACTCAGTACAGAGTCCTTCAGCTTTATTGAGTGCAGACACTTCTTCCAGTTGGATACAGCCGAGTGCACATAAAGCCTGTGAGAAAGAACAAATCAGGGAGGGTTAGCAGCAAAGTCCCACACCTGACTAGGCTTGAGTCTTTTCTTCTGGTAGGAAGGGTGGAGGGTAGGTAAGAAAGTGAGGTTAAATCCCTGTGCCTATGATGTGCTGGGGGTTCAGAACAACAATGAGCAATGAAAACCTATTCCAGAGAGAAGAAGGGAACTAAAGATGTGTGGACACAAAGCAGAGCCCAGAGAACGGAGGTGCCAGAGAGATCTGCCAGCCCAAGGGGAACCTACCAGCCATTCTGTGCTCCCAGCCACATGGTGGGGGCAGCACTGGTGCAAGACCCAGCAGCATCCCCATTCAACTCCTGATCTGGCAGTGTTGTGCTTGACTCTGTCTTCAGCTGCCCATTCTCCCTGAAGAGGCAAAAGAACACTGTTAGAGGCTTTATCAGCAGCCATGCACAGAATGCCCATCTATGCTCACAGTCTGGCAAGCAGATAAGGGCACTTGTATTCACAAACAGCTTCCTTCTCTTCAGTGCTTTTTAACTGCTTGACTCCCAAATCAATTGTCAAAACCAGCTCTTTACCCCAACCAGTACAAATAGCAAGTACTTCAAATCTATAGAACTTAACTTAGTGTTTGTATCATAGTACTGACAGACACTATTTTCTCTGTTCATGTCCAACTTCAACAGAAACAACTTAGATATTGTTCCTAAATGACCAAGTTGTTCTATCCAAGGCTTCCACCTTGCTTCTTAGGCCATTACATCAGACTCATTTGTCTTAAGAATTTTTGGGTGGCGACTACGCTTTCTTCATTATCTTCACAGCACGTTAGATGTACTATTAGAATAACTCAATCATCATTTTTACACATGAATCAGTAAGCTGCTTCAGTAAGAACATTAAATGTACATGTACTTTGGAAGATCTGTCTAACAGCAGGTCTAAATTCATACTGAGATCAAATATTTGCACTTGAACAGCTAATGCAGTCTACTGCAGGCTGAACCATGTTTATTTTAATTTAATATCTTTCTCTTCCTGTCATCCCATCTGTAATACTATTTGGGCACGAAACTGAAAAAAAGTTTGACACTTGGTCAGAAGATCAGACTGGTTCTCATATCTAAAAGCTTATGAAAACAGAGCTGATTGATAAATAATTAACTTTGGCCCCACACTGCCTACCCGTTCTGCCGAAGAGGTCCCTGTGCAGGGACTGGATCTGTAAACACGTGCTCTGTGAGGGGTCCAGGCCGGGCCTGAGCAGGCTCTGCCTCACTTGTACCGTTCTCTGGTACCTCCGTAGCTTCTGTCGCCTCCTCAGTAGACTGGGACTGGTTGATTTTCCCATTGCAGACAGCAGCCACCTCACCTAAAAGACAAAGAAGAGTGTGAGACATACTGGAGAATGAGCTGGTAAATCAGCAATACAGAAATCAGGCTGTCCCTTTTTTCATTTATCCTTTCTTGCCAAATTGAATCAAGCCCTGAGCCTGCACCACATACAGCAGCTCATCCAGTGTTTTCTGCTTGAGTGGGAAACAGAGGCTATTTTAAAGTGAAGCCCAATCTGTGACTAGCAAAACATCAGAAGTTCTCCAGGGCTGCACACTGCAGTATGGAGTCAGCAAGGCCATCATTGTAGTTTTCACATGTGCTTAACTGACTTGACAAGAAGTCATGGTTCAGAGGTGCAAGCAATGAGAACAGAAGCAATTGCAGCAGGGCAAACATATCACCTGTCAAAAACACTCTGCTACAGGACACCCACAACTGGACTGAAGGATGTGGATGACTTGGAGAGAAAAGGAGGGCTCTAAACAGAAATGAACCAAAAGGGCCTTTGGTCTTCCCCTACCACATTATGAAACTTCTTGAGGCCTCTGAAGTAGTTAACTCAGGGACAGGAGGATGCAGCTGTAAGACCGTAAGCTCATATGGGACTAGCTATAATTGGACTGCCGTGAATTCTTATGTCCCAAAACTCACTCTGTCCCTTGTCCAGCACAGGTGTGTCACCACGCGAGGAACAGTTGCTTCGTGGCACATTGCAGCGGGTTGCACAGCCCACCAGAGTGATTCCTGCCAAGACACCATCTGTTCCAGACGACTCTTCAGGATTTACATCTCCCTCCAGAAAGATCTCGCCTGGAGGATAATCACTCTCACTGGCCGCTGAAGGGCAAAGAACAGATTCTCCCATAAATTTAGCTGTCACTGCTAATTTAAAGGTAGCAGTAGTCCTGAGGTAACCATATGGGTGGAATATGCTCACCCTCAGAGTTCACTACCCTGGGGAGGCACCACAGCATCAGTCAACATCATGGCAAATCCCTAGCATCAACATTCAGGCCAGCTACAGAGCACTCCCAAACCTGGGCAAGGCTCACTCTTGCTCCCAAGAACCATCCTTTATGTGACACAGGAACGACTTACTAAACGTTCAACAGTGAAGGATCTCCACAGAAAGGTCCTACAGGAAGGCAAGATCCAAGTCATGGTTTTTAGGGACAATTACAGAATGGTCCAGGGTAAGTTCTGCAGTGAGGATGCTGCATTTACTACTTCTCAGTGGAGCAGGTGACCCTGTGCAGATCACAGCCAGTGTCCAGGCCCCACTTACCAGGGATGCTGGAGATGCAGAGCACATGAGCATTGCAGACAGTGAACTGGTCCACTACTGTGCCAGGCTGATTGGCATCAATAATCACAACTTTACTTGTTGACAGTGTACTAGTGAGGATCCAGACACGACTGGACGTGGCATCCATTTCATGGAGCTCCTTTGCCTTCAAGAGAGCAAACACACGGGCAGAATCAGTGCTCCTCTCAGGTCAGACTGAGTGGATTAGAGCTTGGCAAAATTTACACATGCAAATACCACAATGCTGGCTTCAAAGAGCCAAGTCTCTTCCCAGCTGATGCAAATAAACAATACCAGCTATGCAAATTCCATTCAGGTTGCTGCACTAGTATCTGGAACACCAGCCAAAGCGCCTATCTGGCTCCTTAGGGCCAGAGGAATTTGGCCATTAATTTCTCTTCTGAGATGTCTGACTACTGGCTCACTGAACATTCACAGTAGACAGAATACCATGGAGCTGGGACAGCCTCAACCCACCAGCTTAAGCAAGCTGATCTCAGAAGACTGTGGAAAAACTCCCACAAACTAGGAAGGATAAAATGTTGTGTTATCATCTGCAAATTACAGCTTGGTTCTTAAAAAGACCACAAACCCACACATAAGACTATTAAAAAACAGAGCTGGAATAAACCTCAAGAGCTTCAACTTCTGAACCAAATGGACTCATGGACTGTGATACGTCTATGCTTTTTTAAAAAACCTCTGCCTGAATTTATTTATTATTTTCTTTTAATTTACAGTGATGAAGACTCCTTAATTTTCCTAGCAACCTCATCATGCATTTAATTACCCTTACTGTTAGAAATTTTTTCAAAGTTCCAAATGTTTCAAAAGTAGAAGTTGGAAAATTTTATCCTGGATGATCTGTCCCAATCATACAGGAAGTTACCAAAGAGCTCGAACATCACAACCCTGCCCCACAGAACGATGCTCCAGAAGTACAAGTTAGAGCATAGTACAAAGGTACTGAGAGAAAAGTCATGTCAGGAATGGAATGAGAAAAAACACCAAAGACAAATCCATTTTCTTTTCTGACCTTTTTCTTTTCAGGAGACGTGTGGTTACTTTTGTTGTTCTCGCCTTCCACTTCCCTATCACAGGTGAGGGGATCACGTCCAGGCTCCAATTTCTGCCCATTCCCAGGCTCCTGCTCCAATGGTCTCCATCCCGTGAGATTGACTCCAGCTGCACACCACAGCTAAGTAACAGAAACAGGAATCTTAAACTAAGAACTCTGGAGGTTTCAGGGTCTCTTTAAATTCAGGCACTTTTGTACAGAACTCTGGACACATGTCAAACACCTAAGATATTTAGTTGGAAACAACAGATCTTGCTGATTTCTATGAGAAGAGACAGATTTGATGGAGGTAAGATAAAAGTTCTCTGTAACTTAGCAATAATCAGCATTTTTTTAACAGATTTAAAGAAAATCAAGATAATAAATCAAGTGCATAACTGAAAAAAAGCTTCTGAAATGTCCCCAGTTTTTCTGACTCCAGGGTTCTTAAATCATTGTAGCAGAGCAAGCAGGACATGGCAGATGTTACCAGCTTGGGTACAGTAAGCATCACTGCTTACCTAAAATTGACAGTGATTACTTGGCTGAGCATACACATCCTGTGCACTCTGCTCTCCAGTCCCCCTGCCATCCCCTGCTTCCTCACACAACCCTTTGCCCCAAAATCAGTGTTCCTCTGATCTTGAAGAGCTGTGTAAAGAACTAAGACAGCAAAAAATGAAGTTAAAAAAAAATCTGCTGGTCCTGTGTAACAAGTGTAGAGTAAAAGAAGCACACTGCGTATTTTCTGAAATTAAATTTAGCTAATTTCCTATGAGCTACTTCCAGATAGTTTTTCGGAGAATGCTGGGAATAGGACTACAGAAACAAATATTGAATTTATCCAAAATCATAAAGAAAAGACACTGAACAGAATATTATCCAAAGATCACACCAATCTTCTAGAAACAACTAACAGTGTAAGAATGTTCTTACAACTTAAATATCAGAATGACTTCTAAATCATGTCTGAATGAAGTTAATGACAAGCTGCCGATTTCAAAACAACTAGTTATAGCAGATAAATGGTCATCTCTCTGCAGGTAGCACATCTATTCTCAACCACAATTCCACTCAAAATATTCTAGTATTGACAGACACAGCTTCACAAAAATCTGCTCTAGATAATTTTAGTCTGTTACCAGTGAACCCTGGTCAACAGTGGAATCTAAAAAAGGAGTGCTGAAATGCATTTTTCCTTTCACCTGCTCCTTTTAATGAATTTTCATAATGTTTTGTATTATACCCTAAGAAGTCTTAGCAAAAGCCTTATAAGCATCAAATGCTGCTGATGTTACGTAAGAGTTGTCTCAAAAAAGCACAAGATGTACGTCAGAAGCATGGGGCCTGGCAACCAGAATCAGCTGAGAATTGCATCCATACAGAGAGAGATACTTTTCCCTATGTACACTGGAAGCCACCATTCAGAAAAAGGAAGCAGAAGATAAAATTTGGAATATATAATGTAAAAAAAACCCAAAACAGATTGTTGTAAAAACTGCACATTTAGCGACCAAAATTCTTTGCTTATTCCATGTGCTGTTCTGGACTGGAATGGTACACAGAGAAAATGTACCTTCATGGTTGGGTCCTTCTCTACTAGTGGGCGACAATATACAGGCACGGGGACGTTTTTCATGCGAGTGTCTTCCTGACCACCATTGGGACTCAGCTGTGGGGAAAGAGAAGATGAAAAAGACAGTACAAAGCTGTAAACACCAGGCTATAGTAAGAACGATGTAACCATTGTGCCAGAGCCAAACCTATTAGACTCAGGGATGGGTGCTGCTGCGGCTTCATCTCGCATCTTGCATGAAAAAGAGTCCCTGCAGGGCTGGGAGCAGTCTACCCCAGACACTGCCTCTCTCACCATTATACAATGCCCCAGTTATGGCCAACAGAGGCTATATACTGCACTGCTGACAGAGAAAGGCTTGTTAACAGATGCTCCCTCCACAGAAGTCAGAACACTGGTGTTCCCTCCCATTGTGGCCTGAAACTCACCCACTTTCAAGCCACACTGCACGACTCCTTCCTTTCAGGTGGTCTTTGACCAGTTCAATGAGTCATAGGCCAACAAATGAGGCCAATCACATTTGATTTTGTGTTACTGCTGAGGAGAAGTGGGAGCAAACTGCATTGCACATGGTTTCTATACTAAATGATTGGTAAAGTTCTCAGAGCATAAATGAAGTATCTAACGTTCAAGCCCAATTATAATAACAAAGGAAATAAAACCAAGTACTGGGCTCTGGACAAAAGTTTCATTACTTTCTGTTTAGGGTAGGTTCTTTCAGCACCTTCATGCAGGGGAATGCCCTCTCCATTGACTTTGGTGGAGATGCAGAAAAGATCAGTTTGATCTGTGCCTACAGTTATACAAATAAAACATGCATATGGTACCTATAAATGAAATATTTGAGGACTAATACTTAAGGCTAAAGTTACCAGTGGGAGAGTGAGGTCTTCACTGGTTTCACTGTGAGGGATGAGGGCCCCTCTGCCTGGCCAGAGAGTGGTCCCTACCTGCTTGTACTTGGCAGGGAGGCTCCAGCCGCAGGCCTGCAGTCGCCCATCGTCATTCCGCACGTGCTCCCGGACCTGGCGGTACTGCTCCCGCTTCTGCTCGCGACGCGCCGAGGACGTACAGTCACTGGGGAGAGAAGCAACAGCGTTACCTCTCAATCTACAGTTAAAAACAGAAGCTGAAGGTTAAGGGAGTGTCACCGTAGCAGGGGAAGGAAACACAAAGCAAATAAAATCCATCTCTGAAAACAGATGCAGGAAATCGGAGAGAGCAAACTGTCAAGAAGCAGGTATAGGCATCTCCAGGTCCCTGTTACCTGAGCAATGCAGCAGACCAAATCATTGTAATCTCCACTTCAGTGCTCCAGGACCCCTTCCAAAACAGGGAACCAACCTTCCACAAGGCCTATGAATCTACAATTTCTGCTTAGCTGCTACGATTTACTAATCTAATGTCTCCATCAGGAAGGCATTTGAGTTCTTCTCCTCTTCGTTATAGTCAACTATTTCTTTTTCTGTCCATTTTAAATCTTTCTCTGCTGACAAGGAAAATATGCACTTACTGATATTGAAACTGCTGGTTTCAACAGAATAACTCCAACTTTGCACTGGCAAAGGTTAAAAGAAAAATTGATCTGTGAGCTCTTAGGATACATTTTAATATAAACAAAGGCTGTTTGAATATCAGCTCCAGCTCTCAATAGCTTTTAAAAGTATAATTCCAAAGCACAAACAATATCAGCAAAAAAAAAAATCCAATCCAAAACAAAGACCCCTACACACACACACACACACACACACACACACACACACACACACGATGACATATATACTTAAAAGAAAAACAACACCCTGCTAAAACAAAACACTTCCTTGCACATGCTTCCTCCCCTGGGGAGAAGATGAGAGAACAAACAGCTTCTGACAGCAGTTACTCACATTGTTTAATGCACTGCTGAAAAGCACTCAGACACCACACAATGACTATGGTATTGTAATCAGATAAAAAGAACAGAATAAAGGCAGTGCGTATCTGTAAAATACAATTTTACCCTTCTAAAGACAACCTCTCTTTTCCTGATCTACTTCCTTTCTAACAAATCCTTCTTTTGCAGAAGTTATTCTTTACCATCACATTCTCCAAAGTATTTCCACAAAAAATGTTACCACATATAAAACTGTAGAACCTTATAAGGGTAGAGCACATGCATTTTGAGGTCAAGTAAAGCCCAGAAGAGTTTTCTCCCTTCAAATCAGAGACATAAAGAATAGAGAGAAGATTCAGCAGTAGCAACACTCAGAGGCTCTTTTTTAGCATGGTTAAGATTACAACCAAATATTGCAACCTACTTGTGCTGTTGAGAGAACTTTTGTCTTCACGTAAACTCCTTGTCAACAGGGTTGGGCAAGACATTTTATCCCACTGTCCCAGTGCTGCCATCATGCTCTACCACAAAGGCCCTACTTCATTCTGTCACGCAGTCTGCAAACACGAGTGCAGAACTAGGGCTGAGGCCAACTCAAGCCTACAGTGGTTCCTGCTGTGATCCATCATCGTGGCCTAGAAAGCCATAGCAGGGATATGTCTGGGAGGACAAAGTTTGCTGAGCCCATCCATACGGTAACTGATGAGTGAAAGATCAGGGAGATGAACCAAAAGAGGCAGAAACTTGTTAACACTACACAGACTTTTTTAAAAGCAGAAAACAGCTTATTTCAAGAAAAGCTGCTATTTAGGAGAGCTGCTGAGGGACCTGGCTTGGCACACAGCATTCAACTCACTCTTCAGGGAAGAACTCCAGGGTGCGGCTGCCAGAAGAGATCTGGCACATGGTGTGACTGCGACGCTGGCTGAACCCTGCTGTGGTTGGAGACTTGTAGTGGATGTTCACAGAGGGGTAGGTCCTCTTTGCTGGTGGGGGACTCGAGGAAGAGCTGAACAGACGGCTGAAGCTAGGGACAGAAAAAGGCCAAGAAGTAAGAGAAAAGGTGCCTGGGGAGACAACACACCATAGATTTACAACAGGGGAAGCAATCAGAGGCTGTAAGCCCTTCATGAAAACTGTCCTAGTTCATAGCACTAAGTCCTCAGTTTGATTGACATTGATTTTAGCTTGCAGAAGGAAACCCCTGAGGGATCCAGCTAACAACACTTTTAGTTGACATTTCATTAATATCAGAGTCAATTTTAAGTTGCTGTCTAAAGCAGAAAGGGCAACACTTCCCCTTTCTTAATCTTACACAAACCATCAAAGAACTTACAACTGCCAAATGGTGGATTTCTTCTTCTCCTGGACGGATGGGTGCTCACGGGAAGCTCTAAGGACAAACACAGCAGAAGCAAGTTAATTTCAGCATCTCTTACCCAAGCTTCTGCCAACCAGCAGGCCATTTCCATCAAGGAAGCCATGTTAGAATGAATTCTGAATTTTGACATGTTTCAAAACACAACAGAGGAAATGACGGGCACTGCTCTTTAATGTAGGCACATGCAACCACTTTATGATTCAATGTTAACATGAAGTGCAAGTAAGTGTGTTCAATTCGAAGTTTTATCAACTCCTTGCAACATTATCATTGCCTCAGTACTAGTCTGGTAACCACAAACCCCAGCATTGTACTCATTGCAAGCCACAGCCTTTAGAATTCAGTAATTAGAAGCAATCAAGTAAGACAGCCCGATCGGCTCACCATATAACAAGTGGAACCAAGAAAAAGCAATGGGTGATAGCAGTAGGAGACTCTTGCTCATATCAAGGATGTCACCGAGACCAAACCTTGTACATCCCACTGACTATTACCTGTTGCCACTGTTTCATGTGGGTACCAATGATACAGCCAGGAGCAATCTTAAAGACTATCAAGAAGGATTACAGAGCCCTGGGAGTGGCAGTGAGGGACTCGAGAGTGCAGGTAGTCTTCTTGTCAATCCTCCCAGTCAAAGGGAACGGGCTTGAAAGGGCCAAGTGAATTGAGAAGATCAATAAATGGTTATGGTAGTGGCTATGGGAGCAGAAGCCAGGACATCAGCTACTTAGACCATGGGACTCGCTTCGCAAAACTGGGTCTCCTGGGAGCTGATGGGTTCCAACTCTCAGAGAAAGGGGAGAGGATCTTTGGCCATAGGCTTGCCAATTTAGTAAAGAAGGCTTTAAACTAGGGGAAAGGGAACCTCAATCCCTTCCACTGCTACCACTTTGAGGCCAGTGCCAGTAATAGATGCCCTTGACCTGGAGAAGGATCACAGGCCAGCAGGAGAGCACCTGAAATGCAAGAGAATGGAATCCCAGCCATGAAATCAGCTTCAATAGGGACCCAGCTCAGTGTCTCCAAATAACGATGGCAACTCAAGATTTGCAGCTCAAGTTCAGGAATAAGAGAGAAGGTATTAGGAGAGAAGCAGCCAGTTTGCAAAACTTTCAGCACTTCTCAACCCCTATTTTAGTAGGGGTTCCATTAACCACAAGGTCAAATATGGCCAGGTTCTGTCCTAAATAGGAATATTCACCAACACTCAGTCTCACCTGATCATCTCTGTCCACCTGACAGCCTCCTGGAGCTCCATCAACCTCTCTTTGTATTGATTGCGCTCCATCAGAACCCGGGCCATTTCCACGCGGGTGAAGCGTCGGCGCTGAGCTATGGGAATGTTGTCCTGCAGGGGGGAGGAGCACTGCTTCAGCCAACAAAAGATGGGAGGGGATTGATGTTAGTACAGGGCAAGTCAGGAGACAGAAAGACATATTTGTTAGTTCTCCTGTTCTGCTTGATTACCCCCTCATTTCCCTATGTGAGGTGCTAATTCTAGACAAGTAAGCTCCAAACTATGCCCCATGGACCTCTGGGGTCTTCTGCAAACCCAGGGAAATTAGAATGAGAACCACCACAAAATTGAACAGCCCACCCTGAGACTATTGCCAGCAAAGTGCTTTGATAGTCTGGAAGGAATTAAGAGAATTGACAGTGGTCCACTGGTCCAGAAGTTTGGAAGCCAAAGTTTTAGTTCATTAGCAAATGCAGTCACAAGCAGCAGGGAGCACAATGCAATGTCACCTGTCCTTGCAAGAGGACTAGGAAGGAGGCATTCTGTTAGTACCCACCCAAAAAGGTGTAGGTCACAAGAAACTAAAGAAAGGCCTTTTCCTCTTTGGTGACATAACTTGGCCTTCCAAGAAGGGCACATGTGGCTTTGGGTCAGGAGGCAACAGGAATGAGATTACTCTTTTGAGGAGTAGGAAATGAGAACAACAGGGCTAAGAAGCGGCACTGGGTTGTGCCCAGACTGCGGCAATTCCCAAGCTCAGCCTGGCAGGCGAGTACTGCTGAGAGCTGGAATAGCACAAATTAACGAAGCTCTTTTCCAGCCTCCCTGGACTTGGAATAAACCTGTATGACCAGTGTCAAAATAAGTGTATAAATAATAAGGAATTTTACAAACTTATTTTTTAATTTAAAAAAAACAGACCTCCTGGCAGTTCAGCTTAAAAGAAACCCAGTCCTCTTCAGCATTTCACAAGCACAAGTTCAAAATTTTCCTATCTAGCTAAATTCTTAACAGACCAAGTTCATCCCAGTTAAGTCAAGTGAATTAGGCTAGAACTGAACTTGCTCCAATGCCTCTTACAAAGAGCACAGTAATATTGAAAAGAAGTGTATCTAATTCCTTGTCCTCGCAGAGTGACATTTAAAAGGAAAATCTCTGTAACTGCTTTGGTTTGTCTTTTTTTTGGTGATAGCTGGTCTTTGTTGAAAAGCCTCTACCTCAGCCAAAACAGTATGAAGAGCTGCCATAGAAGAACAGTCCATGAGTCTTCCCTGCCTGCACCCTGTAACAGGCAGCACTGGCTTATATGAAAGAAATAATGAGAAAAACAATGCTGCACGATTACAGAACTAATAAATGAAGGCAGTTTCTGCAGCAAAGCTGTCTGTATAACCTAGATTTCACTGCATGGCTTACAGCTTCACTGCCAACATGGAGACAAGCTCTTCTGGAGAAGCCTGACTATCAGGAGACTCCAAGAGAAACTAGGCTGCACACTCAACTGTAATTCAAAATTAGGGAGAATCAGACAAAATGGGAAGGTGCTGAGCAGGGCACTGATCTAGCACTGTTCTGCAGAAACTACATCATGCATGGTATTGCCACTGCGATGGCAGCTGATTTTTGCCAAATTATAGTTCGAAAGTCCAATGAAGAGGTAATCTCACAGCATCTATCAGCAACAACCAGCTTTGCCCTCATCGTTAACAAAGGCAGATCAATTTGCACCTCAGGGCTTATACATATGAAGTAATACAGTGTAAGTATAGAAACCCCCTTTCCCCGCAGGCATTTTAGTAATGTAATATACCAATTCTGTACAGAGATAGCTGCTTACATCCTCCACCTCCTCTTTGGGTTCTCGTCGGGCAACAATCGCTTCAGATTTCACTCTAGGAAACAGGAAGAAAAGGCATCAAACCAGCAAGTGACACCATGGCTGGTCCTGAGGTGTCTGGGGAGGAGAACCATCCATGGCAAGGTCTCTCTGCATGCATCACAAGGAAAGGTTTTCAAACTGTGAGCTAAGTGTACAAATTACAAGATGCTTCTCTGGTATTTTCCCCTCTCCCTTGCAGGACGTTACTTGGAACAGCTTCACCAACATCACCCCATTTCTTGGGAACATTTGATGCGAGTACCACAGTACTGACCACTGGAACAGTCCAGGCGATTTCTATGTTAAAGCCATAATCTATGTTCAAATGTTTGGTGGGATCTTAACCATGGGAAAACTGAGCCATTATCAGCAGTGAAAATGCTGCGTTAAGTTCTTCTTCTGGGCTCCTCCTGTTTTCAATGCACCAAAACAAGTCTCTAATGTGAAGGAGAGTTTGCCATAATGGTAAAGAAGAGAACATAAACTCTGTATTACTAAAATATTTAAAGTATTTAACGGAGTGCTTTTAATTTATTTAGACTTCATACTGAGGTGCTGTCATGCAGTCCCATTTGACTTACAAGCACTTTTATTAACAGCGAAGACACTGCAGAAAAAAAATGCTGTCTCCACCTCCTAAAAAGGCACACTTGTCAGTTAAAAGTCCATGTCCATATTGTATATTATTATAATATATAATTATCTTATGTATTATAAGAGACTCAAAAGGCATTTTACAGAATCAGACCTACTTCCACTGCTTGTGAGACTATCTTCATTTCAGACATTTTGAACAACGAAGAGACCAGTCTGTTTTACTCTTGGTGAGCCTGTGCTCAGATTAGAGATGCAACCTTCCAGATTTCAGATGCAAAATAAACACTGTCCGCTGAACTGAGACACCACAGTGCGATGTACAGCTAGTCAAAATGTGATTATGTTGCTTTGAGCTCCATGGGGCATCTTTAGTTTTATGGATGTGAAATCATCCCAGGCTTTGCTAGGCATTCAGGCTTGGGTTTCTCTAGTTTGAGTGGAAAATAAGAAATGGGTTCTCTCCAAATGCTATGTGCATAGGACTTTAAAATCTCTTCTGCCTCTTCTTCTCATTCTTAACATGAACAATGAAACCATTAACAATACCGGCATTTAAATACTGTTTCTGGGAATCTGTATTAGCTCTTTCACTAAATGAATGAGCATTCAGTCCTCTCAGAGCTGTCTTGGCTGCTGTGAGGATCAAGCTCTTGATAGTTTCCGTCAAAATCCTTAGTTTTGAAATTCTCTCTGTTTTTTTGAATTGCAAATTGAAACTCTGGACACTTCACTCCAGGAAGCCTGGATTTGCAGTTGCTGCTGCAGTATCCTAGTCCTGTGGAGGAAAATTCTGCATGTTTTCCAAGGTTTAATAATCCATTTCTATCCAATAAAAAAACAATGTAACACTAAAAATATCTCAGCCATCTACCATCAGCCTTGAAGTGCGCTGTAAGGTACCTCTGCATTCCAGTGCTAACCTCTATGAGGGACACAGAATAAAACTAACAGATGAGGTGGGTTTGTCCCTCCTGTCCTCCCTGCTCCCCGGGGCAGGCTGTGAATCACTCACCTTTTCAGCTCCTCCTCCAGCTCCTTGACTCTGGTTTCCATTTTGGCTTTGGCCTGCTTTGTTGCTTCAAGCTCTCCCTTCAGCACTTCCTGCTCTCCAGACAGCTGGTCCACCTTGGCAATCAAATCATTCTTCACAACGTTCAAAGCATTTCTTAAAGGTGCGAAAGGGACAATAAGCAAAAATGCCCAAAACCAGCAGCTGTCCATAAGAGAGACCTGAAACTAAAGTCACAAGCACTACAAGGAGAGCTGAAATGAGTGTATTTAACCAATTCAGTCCAGCTACAACTCAATGGAAAAACAGATTTTGGCAAGAAGGAGCTGCAGAAGAACACAGAAACCACCATAATTGGTCATGATGAGGTTTGTCCAGTACTGTATCCTGACAGACCAACATCTCTAAGAAAATGGCAGAACACTGCAGAACACAGGTGTAGGGTAACCTATCACCTGCATAAGGCTCAAATCTATTTTTAACAGGACGAAGATCTGAAAAACACCTTTCAGAACTGCTGTTATCTGTAATTGCAGATAATTGTGGATGATGGTGATATAAATAAGCATTTCCAGTCAGCTCCAAATCATCTTAACATCTTCAAAATCAGCAGCTTCCTATCATAGTAAGTTCTCCAACTCTCCCCTGGGAGTGCTTTGCCTTCCTCTTCTTGGCTGCTTAGCTTTAGTATCTGGTTTGCCAGTCTCTCAGAAAACAAGTCCATTACATTGTCTGCTTCTCCTTTATCAACTAATAAATTTTGAAAGCCCTTTTCAATAGTAAGAAAATTCTCTTTCCAAATAGCAAACCTTGCAAATAAAAATCTTGTAAATAGCAATATCCTCACAAAGCCCCAGACACACATCTAGATTCCCACTGAAGTTAATTAAAAGCTTGCCATTGATTTCAGATGGTATCAGACTCTACCAGCCCAGGCCCAAACACTTCACCCAAGAGCCTGCAGAAAGGAGACAGTTAGGAAAGTTGCTCAGAAGAGCAATTCCTCTCCTACAACTAAAGGAACAACATGTACACAAGAGAACGTGCTAGATAAACGAGCAAGGCCCTGAGGCAGGAGTTCTGGCAAAGATCTACTCCAAGATGACCCCTCATTTATAACCAGCCAGGCAGTTCAGAGCACACAACAGTTCCTTACTTGGTCTCCAGCAGCTGCGAGTTCTCCAACAGTAGATTCCCCACTTCTTTGCCCATTCCTGAAAAGAAAGGCCAAGCAGTTTTCACCTGGTCTCCCAGAAACATGAAGCTTGTGTGGCACTGCCTGTCTCATGCTTGAGGAAGAGAAATCACTTTTGTTAGGCTTCCCTAGGCTTCAGTGTCCTGCTGTGGAGAGTGGAGTGCCTCTTGCTGAAAGACCATGCAGCACAAGCAAAGACACCCATGTGTCCTTCTGTAAAGAACCCAAATGCAGACCTAGCTTCTTACCCCAACTTTCACAGATTCCCTTAAGAGGGACAGAGAGGAGGAGAGCTTCACTAGCACCAGTCAGGGGAAGTCAAGTCAGTAACTCCTGGTTTGGCCATGAGCTATGGCAAACACTTTTTATCATCACTCATACAGGAAGAAGGTAGAAGTTCATAGGATTTTCACAGAGGACAGCAGAGCACTGTCCAAATTGCTGGCCAGATCTGGACATCAGTGTTTTTCTTTCTTTCTTAGCATTATCCAAATTTTCTGTTTCTCAGTACAGATTTGGGATCATGGTTGTGACCAGTTTCAGGCACATGAAAGGCTTCCCATCACCAGCCTTCCACCAGAGCAATTTTAACAGAACTTCAGATTGCCAATTGGTCTGTCTACCTTTAACAGTTTTCTCACAGATGTTTAAAATCTGAAGTCTCAGTCCCATCGCTTGAGAGCCGCACTCAAGAAAACATCTACATCAGACACTCTGCGCTTGCACTTGGTCATCAACATACAACGACTCCAATACACAGATTGGGTTGCAAGCACTTTGAAAAATCTGCAGCTAAGAGATTGTCAAATTTCATAAAACCACATGGAAAGGAATTTAGGGACCAAAAGCACATGCGCACTGTTTCCTGCTGCCAGGGTCCTGCAGCCTCCCAGTGTCAACTTCTATCTTACAATGGGGAATAGAGGCCACCTGAGGACTAAAGGCCACTCCCTGTCAGGAGACAGTGCTGGGGGTTGCAGCTCATTTCTCACCGCAGGTCTCACAGCATGATGAACTCTCACAACCATCAGTGTTTGTGCTGAAGTGCTCCTTGTCCTGCCCTCTAACTACCTCTTCCTTTACAGCAAAGACATCAACAGTTTTCATGATCCGTTATTTGCTGATTAATATTAGCAATAAAATAAAAACAACACAAACTTGAAGTAAACGGAAGTTAGAGAAATATGGTAGCATACGAGAAATGAGAACACATCACAACACTCCAACATACAGATCCTCTTCCCACAGTTAAATGGGATGAATTTATGATGGCAAAAGCAAATTCCCAGCAAGAATGAGTAAGAAGCAGCATTTTCAAATAACTTTTGAAAAATTAGTAGCCAGATAATAAATCACTTTGATGTTTCAGGCAATGTGTTCTTTGGATGCTGTGTCAAAGAATACTGCAAACAGCAAAAAATTCAGAGACACTAACTGCAGTTTAAACTGAATGGTATTTTTGGTTTGGTAAGGTAATGACCTATAGCCCTTTCTTTTGTGGCGTGCCTTAAGTTGGTCAGAAGACCAAGAAGTCATATGTTTATTAAATGATTTTCTTATTTCTTTTTAGTGATTCTAAAATTATCAAACAAATATTTAGCCAGTAGACATTAAAATGGCACAAGGACATTACAGGTGCTGAGGGATATCAAGGGAAAGGGTTCATCCCCAGCTTTTTGGGACTAAATCTTTTCCCTTCCCATCTTGAGTAATCTATCCCTCTCTGTGGCTCTTTTCATTAGAGAAAGGAAATTTGGTGAAGAGGATGAGGTATCATACCAGAACTAAAAGCCATAAAGTGCCCCAACCATCAGTCTCCTCACCACACTTTCTACCTTATTTGTGTATGACACAGTCACAGCCCAATGCTTTAACCAGCGAGAGGTATGAAGGGCTGGTCTTGCAATAAAGAAATGGATGAAGCCATCCCAGAGCCACAGAATGGACTCTATGAGATAACCTTATGCAGGCTGTAATGAGAAAGCCCTGCTCATAGGGAAAAAAACCCCAACACCATGGAGTGACTAAAAGGAGACCTCTTCACCCCTTTGTGGTGTGGAGCTAAGGGGAAGAGAGGTCTGGACAGAGCCCTGTCTAACAGAGCCCATCCTACACTCTCCACCTCCCACAGCCAGGCAAATCATGCGAAGCATCAAAGTGGATAATCAACTACAAGAAACAGAGGAGAATCCCCAAACCATCGCTACTGACCAGCTGCGTCCTGCTTCTTGGAGAGGTGATACCACCATCACAAAAAACCAAACCAAGGTAATGCAAGACATATGGAGGGATGTTGAGTGAATGGAAGAAATTTAGAAAAAAAAATTCACATTATAAAAAAAAAAAAAAGAAAATTAAAAAAGGCCTTCGCCTTACCAAAGAAATCATCCCGTACTATGAGAGCCATCCCATACGAGAAAGGAAACAGAAAGAGATGGGGACAAAAGGGAAGAAAGGAAGAGAAAAAAAGCAGCCATTAAGTACCAGTCTGTAACAGCAAACAGAGCAGCTCATCAGCATGTGCACATCTGCGCGTGGTGCCAGTACCTGTGACGCTCAGC